GCCAAGGCTACAAATGGCGGCGCTGTTCCATGTCCACACCATCCACAGATCACCTCGGCTCAGTCTTTAGCTCTCAGCATAGCTCAGGTCGCCTCAGATCAGCTCAGCTCCGTTTGGTGGCTAACCGTTCAGCAAGCAGCAAGATAGTGGTAAGCCGAATTCAGCGGCAGCAGGATCTCAAAGTGGTGCGCCTCCAGTAACGGCCATGGCATTGGCAGTGGCAGGATCGAAGCGGCACGTCGTAGATGTAAGCGTTTGTTTGCTGGTGGTGATGGCGATGGTGGGCCAAATCCAACGCTATCGGGGTGTGCGACCCTAACGCGCTATACCCGTGCCTGCGATCCATTGAGGGAGCTCGGCCACCGCCGCCCACCTAGTAGTGCTGCATGGTGGTCTGCAGGGCGGACAAGAATTGCATGTGCGCTCGGCTCAGGTCCAGCTCCTTCCCCGCCCAGATGGAGAGCAACAGGTTGCAGCTGCCCAAGAAGTGTGGTCGCGCGGATCTGCGTGGCTTTCGCTGCGGACGTTACACGTTCCTCAACTGAGCAGTTGCGGGTAGGAAGCAGCAGGAAGCTGAGCGGTGGGCAATGCGGATCCGGGACGTAGGTGTGGATATCTCATGTCAGTATAGCTAGCTTCACGTGTGTGCCTGTGCAATCATGGTGTGACTCATGTGGATACCCATTGTTTTATTTTCTATCCTTCCCCCATGAAACGCTGGCTTCTGTTCTCAGCACTACTTGTCCCTTTCACCCGAGTCGTCCTATTTTAGCGCTCCACAGGCGCTTGAAAGCATCGTGTCTCCGAGTGAGCATGTGTCCAGTTGCTGTGACAACAAAACAATAGTGGTTTCTTTCTCCTTTTCTATTTTTAAATTTTCCTTTCTTTCTTCTTTTTTTTTTTTTTTTTTTTTTTTTTGATGGTTGTTGGGTCGCATCGATTCCGGTAACAAACCCAAGCATCTTGGGATGGTATGGGAGAGGATGGCACGCCAGCGTTCCTCGGACTAAACCCTACATCGCTGTCCGGGGATCTGGGGATGCCACATAACTATCAGATCGTAGCCAAAGCGCCTCGCCTCCCTTAAAAGACGCAAATGCACAACCCCTCCTACTCACCTCCCAAACCATGCGAATCCTCCGTCCAGCCGACGCACCATCCTGGCTGTGCCCAAACCAAGTGCTTGGAAGCGACGGCCCCCTCCACTTTGTCGTCGACATTGTCCACCTAGAAGACGTGCAGTGGTCCCACTCATGCATCGAGCGACAGGCCGGGCCTCAAACCCCAGCAGCAAGGAAGACTCGTGGATAGCATCCTTTATGGCATTCCAATGGAGGCGGTGGGATGGCCGGTGCAAGGGTGAAATGTGATGTGTTTCGCCGCCCTCTTTGGTAACCTGTTGCTAGAGCTCCGGGGCCAAAATCAACTCTTTCTCGCAAACTCCAAGTCCAAGTGCCGGTCACGTATGAGGACGTGGTTTGAACGGATCGTGAATCGATGGTCATGCAAGGTACACTTTCCACGTTTGTTGATGAAGTCATCCAAATCAGAGGTGCCGCTGCGTTCGGAGTTCCCTACCGCCGACATATGGCCCCAGTATAGCCAAGTGGCAACCGCTTTGTCAACATCGCTCGAACCATTACGTCGCGGATCGGTTGCATCCCTTCTTTCGTGGCAGGGCCGTTGCTGATCTCGGCTCCACACAGCGTCCCAAACTTTGCAACCGTCCACATGTATTCCAAGTTGGACCCATCTCCGAGGGAGAGATGCACCGCCGCTTTCATTTCCCGTGCTCCTAGCGGTGGTCTTACTAAACTGGAATTGGTTGAGCACGTTTCAATCTACGGTCCTTCGTCGAGCTCCAGCAGGAACAATCCTCAGAATAATCATGTTGCAGGAATTAACCCAACATTGGACTGATGGAACGGAGAGGGAGAAATTCCATGCCCATTTTTACCAGTACCGTGTTTCTATGCAGATCCTGCTTCGTAATTGGTTCCTGTCAATCTGGAATAAGCTCTGGCATCATCGCGCCAGAGCTACCTGAAACAAAACAAAAGGAAAGAAAACGAAGAATGTTTGTTTGCTTGCTTTTGCTTCTGTGTTTTTTATTTTTATTTTTTTGTTGAGAAAGTGGATCGCTCTTTTCTATGAATCGTGTGCTCGCCGCAAGCTCCCGCAGCACACAATTCACACGAAATTTTTAAGGCTGATCTCAGTGCATGTTGGATCAGGGTGTAAGTAGCCTCGCTACTGAATGGAAGGCACTTACTCTGGACCAGCTCTAGACCTGGAAATGCAATGATTTCTTAGACCAGCTTGTGCGTGCACGGCGGATGGGGAGGCTGTGGCAAGACTCTAGGAGGGGGATCCACGCTGAGAAACCTGGTCACAAGTTCCAACAGACTTGTGACTACATGGTGATGTTCACTATGGTAGAGCGCGCCACCTAGTGGTATGGTTTGCTGCCATGCCCTGCAATGGACCAGGCAAATGTGTGGAGTGTTGAGCCCTGAGATGAAGTGAACGAAAGTGAGAACGAAGCAAGTGCGTAAGGGTCTCCATGGTAACCATATTGGGAAAGAGTGCGAATAAAGTTTTGGAGTCAAAACCAGAAACAACGACATTGGACAAGAGAAAACTGAACATAATAAAAGCACAGAAGAACACAATAAAATGATGGACAAATCCGCATATCCAATAATTTTATATTTCCATTTTTTTCCTACTTTTAGACTTTTTCTTTTCTTTTCTTTTCTTTTTTTCTTTTATTGTTTTGTATTGTTCTTTGTTTTTGGTTTTTTGTGGGTTGGGTGTCTAAGTAGAGTTGTGAACAGTGGAGTATTGTTGCTCCTTTTGTGGATCCCAAGATTTTTCAATACTGAATAAGCTCATATCACAGTTGCATGTGTGTGTGTGTATGTATATGCATATGTGTAAACATAAACATACCCACTCACATGCATACATATATGCAATGAGAGCAAGTACATGAAATTATTTCTGAAGTTGGGAAAAAGCTGCATCAATGGAGGTATGAATCAATCCATTTGTAAACATAATCAAAAGATTGAGTAGTGCAACTATTTTGGGCATTGTATCACTTTTTGACAATTATTTAGCATAATGTGTACTCCACCACATGTTGGAGTTGTTGGTCCTAGTTGGTTGTGCCTTCATGTACTATGCACCACAATGCAAGTCCCAAGTAGATGGAATAATTCAGTGCCATGCAAATTCTTTATTTTGATGAGATAAATTGTTTCCTTATTATTACCTTCTAACCCTTCCTGCTGTTTTCCAGTCACTTTCATTCACACCCACATATTGCACAGACAACTACTAAACAAGTGAGTATCTGAACACTAAATCAAAAAGCATAGTTGGATTTAGTCCCTCCATTTGTGTTTGAGCAATAGTAGCAGCAAGTCACAAGCAAAGCCATGAGTTATCCATTCCAATGTTGCACACGCGCCATGAAACCTGAGAGTGTAGAAATTGAATGTTCATTGTATCAGGTTGGTAAAGGTGAGTGAACCATGTGTATGACAAAACTACGACAAAAGCATCCTCAAAAAGTGTCTATTGCACATGTAAACTCAGGAATGACTCACGCACAAAGCCAATACACTGCCACCCTGAATAGCATCAGGATGCTCCTGAGCGAGCATGCACCTGGATGGCTTCTTGTCAACAACCGGTGTAATAATTTCCGCCCATTCCTGGTCCTATGAAGGTCGCTGCCCACGTTGTCCCCTCACTACTAGGAACGCACACACCAACATCAACATAGCGTGTCTGAGGCAGTCAGTTCTTCGCACAACCTTGGTAGTCTAGGCCATGTGTGTGTGGGCGACGCATGGCTACCGCTAAATCACCCACACAACCTCGAACCTGAATCACACCAGATACTCGGCCCTGACTCAAGCAGTGTTTTGGATGAATAAGTTCATTCGACTTATTCTATTTGAGTATAAATCATAACAAGTATGAAGGCTAATGTACACTTTTCAGTAATCATTTTTTTACAGCCATTATGTGATCCCGCTTGCGTAGAAATCAGCTAGTAGTGTTGTTGTGTCTCAGAGGCAGTTCTTTGAAGTGAATCAAGTGCATTTGCACAAGAATAGTAGTCACGTTGTATGATGTTGTTGTGTGTTTTTGAAAAATGTGTTGAACTCTAACGAGATATGGGCCTCTACAACGCGAATACGTTGCGCCTCTTGTAACACTATCATATTTGGTCATTTTCTACCTTAATCATCTTCTACTTCTGAGTTTTTCTATATTTTTCCACTGACTAAAATAAAATCTATTATGATAGAAGCAATCTTCTCTAATTTATTAAGTTGACCAAGCAAAGGAACCATTCAAAAGTATTATTCTCAAATTAAATAAAACTTCAAAAGATCCAAATGTGTCAGGTTAGAAATCCGTGTAAAGGGTTTTTACTTATCGTTAGTCATATAATTAAATCTTGTAATACTTATAAGTTTATTTTAGAATATTTAGAATACAAAAAAATAAAGTCTAATAACAATAGAAACTCTTCACAAACACTCTTCAATGGTAAGTGTATCTTACAATACATGAGTCTCATTCATATATGCACGTGGTACAATATTCGACCATATATAGGAAGGTTATTGAGGAAGAGGAATGTCCTAGTTTCAATGAAAACTCGGTTCCTGAGGTTCTAAACCAACAGCAACTGAAAAAGCAGCAAATTACCGTCCCACACAAGATGAAGCAAAGAAACAGTCGTACAAAGAAAATGATCGTCCAGACGGTCCTTCTCTAGTCAAGCAATCACAGTCACTAAACCTCCTCCCAGGAAGTCGATCTCAGAGAGATGGCAGATCTGAACATGAACACGACTAGGCTACTCAACTAATGTGTCATTATTTATCAACTGTGAGATTTACAAAGCAGAACGCACACGGAAATGAAGGACATCCACTGAACACACTACACTTTCACATATCATTGAGATTCTACAATTTAAAAACACTCGGAGTAATCTTCATAACTTCAATTATTCCTTCATAGGCAAGTACGGACAAAAATATCTACTCAAACAAATGAGCAGACTATTATGCAATATTTAATGGATCACGACGTTGCTCAAGAAGAAGCAACGACTTTACCTCTACAAATACATGTCCTTTTTACTATCTAGAATCTGAACATGAGATGTACAAGGCTGCGACGTCCACTAGCAGCAAACTCTCACTCCAACAATACCAGCAGCCGTGTCCAACTGATGGACATACACAACTGGAAAGGCAAATCGTCGAATTGACTTCTAGTCAGACAAAGAAGAAACAGAGTGGCATGTGATTGGCTTTCCCACTTACCAATCAACTTAGCTTTAACCAGTCAAACGCCTTCGTTTCTTCCTTTTTGGGTTCTGTTGAATATTTAGGTCCTGAAGGATTTGAGAAATCAAAACCATCATTGTAATTTTGTCCGAAACTACTTGTAGGAACTCCATTTCCTTGAGAAACAGCTCCAGCTGGAAAGCTCATTCCTATTCCAAGAGCTTGCATGCTTGCCAAGTTCGCTGCCAACTGCTGTTGCATCATAAGAGGACTCATTCCTGCAAAAGAAGCAGGACCAGGAGCGAACCCTTGTGGCGGCATATTAGGCTGCATAGTGCCACCAGCCATTTGCATCAATAAAGCTGGATTCATATACATCATCTGGGACGGGAGGGCTCCTCCAACAGACGACGTTCCCAATTGGCCTAAATCAATCTGTCCATTTCCGCCAAGTTGCTTGGAAGTATTACCCCAAGCTAATGGATCTAACTGACCGGGATTACTGGTACCGTTTGCAAGAGAAGGTTTGGAAGCAGATGAGGATGCTAAATCCTGAAATGGATCAACAGAAGTTGTGGTCGAGAGGCCACCAAACAAATCAACCAAGCTCTCCGCAGAAGGTTGGGCTTGCTTTGCAGTGGTTGAATCGTCCCCACCAATAGTAAGACCCTCGAAAAAACCAGTATAATCAGAGGTTCCATTTGCCGCAGTGCTATCAACTGCGTCTACCCTAAGTCCTGAGAAAAGACCATCGCCAGAGCTGGGGGTACTTGCGGTGTGCAAAGATAATCCTGCGAAAGGGTCTTCTGCTCTCGTAGTCTCAACTGGTGGTTTTGCTGTAGCATTCCAACCAAAACCTCCTAATAAGTCATCAGCAGCAGCTGATGCTGAGGATCCACCACCACCATTGATTAAAACCTCTACTTGTTCAGATATCTTCCCAGTGCTCTGCATTCAATGAGAGTTCCCTTCAGATAGGTTCTACTGAAAAGCATGCTGAAGGCGCCACGCAAATTTAATTACAAGCAGCAAAGGCCCATGCTCAGGCGAAAATTTCACCAGCATATGTGTTCAAACACTGCAGAATACGGTATACAGAAACAAACTAGAGTAAGATGATTCACCTGTACATCATCAACTCCTTCGGGTGCATCCCAACCATCCATAAGATCGGGCAACACCACGGCTTGTTGAGAAGCCAGTGGCGGTGGATTAGGGCCGGACCCTGATTTATGTTGGCTCTCTTCTGAACCTCCTAGTCCAAGCAACTCCAAAACCTGCAAAAATCCATTTCATCATATGCATAGGAATAAGGAAACACGTCAATGTCAATTTAATACCGAACATATCATAATTTCAGCCTCAAAAGTACGAAACAATCTGTTACTGTCAAACCGATGACAGAAATCGGATAATACAGAGAAGGACATCACTTGGATGTGTTTGAATATTAGGATTATAGTGAAACGGACCTTCTTAGATTTCTCCTTCAAGGAAGCCTGTGGAGATTGTGAATTTTCAACAATACAACTGGAATCCTCTTGGAACATCCCTACAACTCTCTGAAGCACATCGTTGCTGTCTCCTTGCCGCAGAATAGCTTCCACGATACACATAGCTTTAAAACGAGCCTGATACACAGGCCCCGTCAGTCTCCACTACGTTACACCGCTACCACTCAGCCCCAGTTCAGAAAAGACCATTCACCACAAAAAAAAACAAAAAAAAAAAAAAAAAAAAAAAAAAAAAGAGAGAGAGAGAGAGAGAAGAAGAAAGAAGGGCGATAAGAACTCTGCTAAAAAGCATGGTGGTATTACAATTAAATTTTATGACAGCCAAATACAGAAGTAAGGGATGTCAACCTGCCATGCGTGAGCTTGCAACTTGCTTTGAAGTGCATAGCCAAGTCTGTCACCATCCAGTTTAGCAGCAGCTGTCAGAAAGTTCTGAACTACCTCTCTGCTAGGTTGCAGCCGTACACCTCCTGGAGTGGTTACTACTTCGACCAATCGATCTTCCTGCGTCATGGGCCTCCCTTCATGACGTGGAGAACCTCCCCCACTGCTCTCTGTCTTGCTATCACGAGATTCAAAAGTTTCATTCGAACTCAAGGAGTACGTCGATACTTGAGAATCTGACGGATTGTACTTACTTTCTCTATCAGTCAATGATCTTCTTAAATTGGGTCCCCTGTGAAGCCAATCGTAAAATTGCAAGCACGTGAGAACAAAGGTTTGAAATTTTGCTCTAAATGATTACTTGTAAAATTTTGATATACGCACACGGTCGTTAATCGGTAAGGCATTGTCGTATAACATATTCAAGGCATCAGACATAAGCAGAGTATTGAGAGTCGTACATCCTTACCATCATCGAGTTAATTTAGGAAGATTTCTGACTATCAAAACCTATTCGAATTCACGCCATGTTCAAAAACTCATGTTCTTCAATTACATAGTATTGAAGGTGTTTTCTTAAACCACACGTTCTATAGCAGCTACAATAAGAATGAGAATACCCTTAATAAAAGTGTTTTTTAGTTTCTTATTTCTTATTACAAAAAAAAGCTATTAAATTTTACACAACACAATAAATGCACGTTAATTACCTGTAGGAGCTAGAGCTTGAATTACCATAGTTCCCGCTGCTCCCACTGCTGGCCAATCCACTCATCTGTCGAATTGTTGAACTCCCAAATCCCATCACATCATCCAACATCGACTTTTTAACTCCTCGAGTTGATGAATCAAAATTGGTGCTCCCAAATCCCTCCATGCGCTTACCCACTTCTTCCGCAGGCGGTTTATCATTGGATGCAAATATGGCAGATAATGCCTCTTGTGCAGTCTCACGCACAGCCTTGTTCAAAGCATCTCCTTTCAAGGCATCTGGTGCCCCCCTGCAATGAACAGTAAGGCAAAACGTTCAATTAGACTCCTTCTCAAGACAATAACACACTTCTGAATGCGGGCAAAAATGTTTTCAATCGAGACAGCAGTGCTTGCAATCAGGGGACCGACTCGCAAACATGGATGACTTCCAACCTGTAGTGCAACAAATTTCGAACGGCTGGAGCTTGTCGTTGAATTTCCCGTCGAAATTCTACGCCTGCCTTTCCAGCAGCAAATTTTATAAGTCTCAATGCCTGCATTTTCCGTGTCAAGATGATGATAAGTAGGGATTCAAATGACTGAAATTTTGTCTCGATTACGAGAAACTTGAGTAAGTTTCGATCTGACCTGTTTAGAACAATAAATCTAGTCGACCAGTGACATGTGAACCACCATAATCATCCATTGGTGCAATCAGCCAACTGATTACCTTCTGTCTATGCCCAGATCCCAAAAGAGTGTTCCACAATCAAATTGATCGCATGGCAATCAATCGCAGCATTACACGCATCAAAAGATGCGTAAAGGAAAACCATCAAAACTCCATGACAGTAAAACTCAGTGAATCTAAAAGACAAACACTCACGACCTACGAGGTTGTTCAATATCATTGTTACGTCTACGACGTGACAAATTCTCTCATGCTTCCTTGGTGTGGTCAATAAAAACCTCTAAAAAAACACACCCTCACAATCACAATCTCTAACCCCCCTAACCACCCAAACCGATCAAGGCAAATACAGTAAGAACACCCTCTTCAAATCAAAGTTCTTCCATGGCTGTCAATTGAGCTCGACCGACATACCTTCTGCTTCACAATAGGACTCTTATGGTCCATCCGCTTCAAGATCCGTTCTACAAGCTCCCGCACGATGTCTAAAGACGAAGTACGCATAAGAGTGCAAATCTCCTCCAGCTTATACACTGGCGCAACGGAATCGTTGTCGCTGGTGGCTCCATCGATGAGGACCGCCCGTCTGTAAGCCTCCACGGCCCTCACACCCGACTGCATATTGGCGATGGCCCCGGCGACCTCCTGAACACACAAAACCCTTCCCGGCAACTGCTCGATTGGTGAGACGCTCGTCGTCAAGCCATGCGAACTTCAACCCTTTGCCACACCAAGCCCTAATGGCTCCCAGGCATGGACTCACTCCTTCCTTGGCTGAGTGTCTCCGCCTACACGATGACAGTTCCGTCGTGGAATCTGACCGGAAACCCTGCCAGGCTGGGCACACCCTCATGCCACGTCGTCGCTGAGGCCTCGTTGGACTCCCCGTGGACTTCCTCTCTTTCGTGTTCAGTTCATGAGGCCGGCCTTCACTAGTTTATCAAATCTACCATTTCTAAATCTACCATTTCAGTTCAAATCAATGTATATTCTCCAAGATACACTGCTGCTGATGTGGCACATACGATATGAGACGTGATTGGTTGGATTTATTTTTGGCTGCTTCAGTTGTTAAATAAGCAAAATTATTTCACAAAACATTCAATCTCTATGTGTAATCGATTTTTTTAATCAATTATGTTTTTTAAAATAAATGTAAAGGTTATTTTTTATACTTTTTCAACAAAAGACAAAGAAAAAGAAAAAGAAAAATATAATTGCATTTTAAACTTTAAATCTTGGGATATTTTTACAAATGCTAAAAAACTGGTTGTGTAGTAAAGATGTCATGATTTTTTAACACGGATTCTTATACAAAGGACCACATGTATTGATGGATGGAATCTTTGCAAATTTCAAATAAAAAGTCATTAAAAAGAGATTGATTGCCAACTTGTAGTGTACTTTGAATTTAAGCTCAGCAGCAATTTGACACTAGAGTTAAAAAAAAAAAAAAAAACAAAACAAAACAAAACAAACAAACAAACAAACAAACAAATACATGCTTCAAATGTGTTTGTTAATTTTGATTTGATTTTGCATAATCTCAATGTAATATTTAATTCTAACATTAGATAATGAATTGAAAGATTTAATTAAAAAATGAAATATACATGTACATACATTCATATACATATGATTCATAAAAGTAATGTATTGATGGCAAATCATTAATCCATAATTTTTTATTAAAATATATGCAAATGCTAGAAAACATATATAAAATTTATGAATCACTTTTTTAAAAATAAATAAATCCTTTTAATATATTTTCGAAAAGTATGTAATACATATATTCTAAAGATTATCTTAAATCATCAGAAATTTGTGTTGAAATGTTGTATTGGCTATTGTATACAGTTTTAACTAAGCTTATTGCACCTAACACTTGTTCTACCAACTACCAAAAACATGACTAAGCATCCCATCATATAAATTAAGAATAATATGTGTAAAGACAATTACTTCATGGTTATCAAACAAACACAAGTTATCTCTCACTAAGTTTAACAAGCAAAATTTCCATAAAAACTATAATTCTATAAAACCAAAGCTTCGGATGTATATTATAAATAACAAAAAACATCCATGTTAAGCATACAGTCTAGATAATTAAAAAATTGCTACAATAACGATTTGATTAACAATTTGTGCTTCAACAAGTGGTTGACAACTTGTATTAGAGTCAAAATCCATTTACAAAAACTTTGCAGCAGATTTTCTACCTTCTCAGTCAACTTATCAACTTCACTGTTAGCATACATATCAAACGCACAACCTGTACCGTATCCCATTGCGGCACAAATGAAAGCAATTTGAGATAAGAACAAATGTACAGAATATTTCCATTTGAATCTCATCGTGGAGAACGGATGGAAACAAGTGAATATACCACCTGACGAGGGACGCGGCGAACCTGGAGAACGAGGATGCACGGAGATTCTGTTCTAACTCCATCCAACACGTTTGTGGAGCACGGTTTGGGGAAGTAAGGGAACGGCGCAAACTTACAAAAGTGCTGTGAAGGACATCACCACAGCGCTGGGACTACAGCACTACTCACAACCACCATGCTTTCCCGGGGGGCTCACACACCGCAACTGTGCACGACACTGACGACGGTGCCGGGTAACCCGTGCAATATTCACCCATGGGAATATCGCGGCCATGTGGCCCGACCCCCTCCCACCGAAGCCTCTGGCAGGCAGCCTTGCGAGGCATACGAGCGCGACGACAACCCCAGTCTCGTCACGATCGCCGCTCTTCCGTTTCCCCTTTTGCGGGCCGCTGTGTTTCTCATTCCCGAAGCCGTTCGTCGTGCGGCAGCATGTAGAGACAGTACGTGAGCGGGCCAAATGAGTGAGGATTCCGGTTGAGTCGATTGAGGCGCTGCGGCGGGATGGGCGTCGCAAGAATTCGGGCTCCTGAGCGCAGATAAGGGCATGGAAGCGGAAAACAGCATGGGACGAGCTGTGGAGGTGCTAAAGAGCCAGGCCAACGGGAAGAGCAGCAGCGCCAACGGGGACGTGGTGGGCATGGAGAGCAGAGAGGAGATGCCATCGTCGTCGCCATCTCCAGCTGCGTCAGCGGTGGCGGGACGGCAGCAGGTGTCGATGGCGTCGTCGCCTCGACCCGCGCCCGCGCACCGCGTGGTGAGCGCGTTGATCGAGAAGAAGGAAGATGGACCTGGGCCGCGGTGTGGGCACACGCTGACGACCGTGGCGGCGGTCGGGGAGGAAGGCACGCCGGGATACGTCGGTCCGAGGCTGATTTTGTTCGGGGGCGCGACTGCGTTGGAGGGGAATTCGTCTGGCACGAGCGGGCCTCAGACTGCCTCGGCTGGTGCCGGCATCAGTAAGATTTCGAACTCTGTTTTGGCGCTGTGTGTCGTTGTTGATCGTTTTAGGGGGTCGCAGACGGCAGAGTTTGGTTGTATTGACAAAGTTTGGAATCGGTGTCGAGCATAGCAATTCGTCTCCCTTGAGTCGGAAATTCCGGACGCACAGTTTTGCATTGCGACACGGGGGCATCGAGAATCTGGAGTGTTGGGCGTGGGTATTGGTCGGAAGAGCAGGAGGATCTAACACCTCGTATCCAGCGCCGTCTGGCTGATTGCGGAGGTCCGTGTGTGGCGCGTGAGAATATTT